TTTCGGGTGATTCTCACACTATAACCAAGAGCTAATGATTCTCGGTGGGGGGGGGGGGGGGGGGCTGTTGAGCGACTAAATTCATGTACTACAATAGAGATTCACACGCGTCCTTACTCACAGCCGTTCCATACCATTCCTGTTCGGAAATACAGCAGTGGTATTCGGGACTGCTGTATCCGTATCCGAATGGTTGGATGTGTGGTATGGAACATGTGTTGGGGGGCGAAACGTCGGGTTTTGAAGGCAGGATATGAACGGGCTCGTCGCAGTGCCTCCTAGAGCAAAATCATCAACCAGCCCATATGCTTTGGGAGACGGCTGGGTCTGGTACCTGAGGGAAGGCTACGATGCCGCCGTTGATGTCGTTGCCTCGTCTCTTGACGCATGCACGCCGCAGGAACAAAAAAAATGAAACCTCAAGTCCTGCACGAATTTCTCCAAAGTGGCAAGGCAGTCTGTATCGCGCCGCCCACCGTTTTGTGAGTCCAGAATAGCTCATGGTAAAATTGTTAGTCTTACGCCTTGGGAGAAATCGGGACAAAATAGTGCGTTGTTCCCGCCTATTGGTATCTCCACTGATACGTACATCAACTGGAAGTACATACCTTTGTTTGAATGTGCTTCCACAGACTGGCGCTAGATAGCAGATGTGACGAAAACAACAATGCAGGACATGTATACCTTGCCCGCAGCCCTCTCCCCACGCCTCTTCTCCAATATCGCTATGCATACATCGAACCCACCTCGACGGAAATTCTTGTTCTGCCGAAGCGAGGGTCTGTTCCATCAAGAGTAACAGACAGAAAAAACGAACGAGGCACAGCGGATGCATGTCATCTGCATATGACAGCTGTGGGCATTGATGGAAATCTCCGTAGTCCATGACAATTGACATTGATAGCCCTCCCAAAATGTACTGCCAATGATGAGAAGGGATATCGAAAGAACCTCTATTGTACTTCCCCCGTGTTCCAATGTCGCAACAACAGAACAACCAATCGTGCTTCGTTGTTGAATGGGACATTGCTCGTCTACCTGGTGTTGTCGTTTGTATGGTGTGCAAAAACAAAAAACAAATGTACACGTAACGGCAAACGGCGGAGGAGCGATGGAAAAAATAACACTGCGATCGGTTGCACGCGAGAGCACAGCAGTAGCACAGCGATCGCCATGCAGGACAATATCGCCAAATACCCAGAAATACCCACACAGGCACTGCTGCTGCTGCTGCTGCTGCTTTGGCTTGTGTCAGTTGACTTCGCGAACCAAACATTTGAAAATGAAGTATGGATCTCAATCGAATGTACGTGAGTACGTACTGCGAGTCAGCAAAGTAGTGTTGACATGGGGTCGTGCATACGTGCCGCAGTG